CTCGCTCGGATTTGCATCTGTTGTGTGTGTGATCCAGCTAACTAAGGCAAGATCGGTCGTGGATCCAGTCAGCAAAAGCAAAGACCCAACCAAATTACAATCGAGCATTTAAAGACCTGGAAAGCAATCGACATAGTAAACAGTAAATAAATTTGTGGATGCTCATTTATCATAATAATTGTTCGAAATGTGTGCGTGTGCGTGCGTGCGGTGCGTGTATACAGAGATCAGGTTAGGTTGCACCAAACGATTGCAAATGTGTTTCAATGTGTTAAAGTAAATGCTGAAAGTGGCTGCCATTTACTTCCTGACAATATGCTAATCTTTGGTAGAATGTAGAAATGACTTTACGATTCGTTTCAAAAGGTATCAAAGCCATTTCATCCCTTATTCGCTGTATCAATTCGTGAATGGTTTTAGGTTTTGTTCTGTAAACCTTACTCTTCAGATATCCCCATAGATAATAATCAAGAGGAGTTAGATCTGGTGACCGAGGTGGCCAATCCTCTCCTCCCTCATTTCCGTTCCTTCTTCCTATCCACCGTAGCGGAAAAGTCTCATTTAAAATACGACGTGGTCCTGCACCAAAATGAGCAGGAGCTCCATCATGCTGAAACCATATTTCTTGGAAATTATTTGGAAAAGTATTCTGTATGGCTGGAATTATTTGATCAACAAGTAATCTCTCATACCTTTGAGCGTTCAAATATTCTTCAAAAAAAAACGGCCCTATTAAATAGCCATCTATTATTCCGCACCATACATTTATTTTTTGTGGATGTTGTGTGTGAGTTTCCCGCACCCAATTCGGATTCTCATCTGACCAGAAACGAAAATTTTGATTATTAACTTCTCCCGTTAAGGTAAAAGTTGCCTCGTCTGTGAAAACAATTTGATAAGGGAAGATGGGCCGGACATCTATTAGTGCCATCATTCTTTCACAGAAATGTATACGACGCTCCTCATCTCCGTTTTGCAATTCTTGAACGTATTGCAATTTATATGGATGGAACTTGTTCTTCTTTAAAATTCTCCAAACCGACATGGGAGCAATATCGTGAGTTTGAGCGACTCTCTGAACACTAGAATTGGGATCTTCAATAAATGTCTGCAGAACATCAAGTTGTTTTTCTTCGTTGGTTGCAGACAATGGTCTTCCTGACTTAGAGCGATTTCTTACGCTACCAGTTTGTCTAAACCGTTCTATTGTTTTTAACACAGTGGACTTATTAATTCGACGGTTCGGATACGTGTCATTAAATAATCGAACGACATCAGAGAACGATCTTTCGTTATCACCCCATCCACGCATCATGAGGATAGTGATTCTTTCACGTTCCGACAAGTCGCCAGCCATTTTTAAAACGTTTAATTTTAATTAATCGTACGTTGTATTTGGACGATAACAATTAATTTCTGCTTGCTCAAAGCTGAAGTTAGAAGGTGCTCGTTCTTTGATAGCTTTATACATTCTTAGTTGAATTTTAAATGCGAGTTAGACTGCATGTAGTGCGTCACATAGCGGTAAATGAAGGAACTAACGAGACGTTTCATACACGTTTTATGGAGCAATTTTTTGGCAATTTGACTTCAGCGAAATATGAGGATATGTTGAGGAATCGATCTTGCCTTAGTTAGCTGGATCACACACACAACAGATGCAAATCCGAGCGAGTAACCTCCATGTAGTACACCTTGGATAATGTTAATACCGGCGCTACTCTATCATTCAACCCTCATAACTCGCAAAGTACTTAATAAAAATGAACATTATTATAGTGTTTTGGAAAGCTCTTGAATTAAGCTATAAGAATATGCAATCAAATGTAGGGGGTGTCATTTAAAAAAGTCAATGTGACCTTGTCCTGACCTTGACGACGCCATCCAAGGTCAAACTGATAGAATCAGTATATAGATCTTCTTAAACCCTACAACTTTTGTTGGAAACACTTTTCTGTAAAACGTATATTTTCCGAGATATTTAGGGGTTTCCACACTTTTGGTAGACCCTGTACAATATATATATATATATACAGGGTGAGTCATTTTAATCAATACACTCGAATATCTCGAAAACAGCACTCTTCAGAAAGAAATGTTTCAAACAAAAATTGTAGGGTGTGAAGGGGGACATAAGATGGTAGCATTGGTTTGACCTTGGAAAGTCATTTGAAGGTCACATAAAAGTCACCTTCAATTTCTTAAATTGAACCCACTATTTTTCATTACATATTCTTGTAGCTTATCTCGAGAGCTTTCCAAAACACTACAGACAAATGTTTTTTCATTAAGTACTTTTTGAGTTATAAGGCTTCAAAGTTTGCAGTACTTCGATATAAAATGCAAAATATCTCGTAAAATATTTAGTTTTCGGTAGTCTTACGCTAATACTTTTATGCACAGGATAATGAGACAAAACTATTGGTGCAAAGAAAACGTATGATTGTTTATAATAAAAAATGTGTAATTTGCAATGCACTTTTTGTTATAAACAATCATGCGTTTTCTTTGCACCAATAGTTTTGTCATTATCCTGTGCATAAAAGTATTAGGGTAAGACTACCGAAAACTAAATATTTTACGAAATATTTTGCATTTTATATCGAAGTACTGCAAACTTTGAAGCCTTATAACTCAAAAAGTACTTAATGAAAAAACATTTGTCTGTAGTGTTTTGGAAAGCTCTCGAGATAAGCTACAAGAATATGTAATGAAAAGTAGTGGATTCAATTTAAGAAATTGAAGGTGACTTTTATGTGACCTTCAAATGACTTTCCAAGGTCAAACCAATGCTACCATCTTATGTCCCCCTTCACACCCTACAATTTTTGTTTGAAACATTTCTTTCTGAAGAGTGCTGTTTTCGAGATATTCGAGTGTATTGATTAAAATGACTCACCCTGTATATATGGAGTTATATAATCAATTATATCAATATATAGTTATATCAATTATACGTTGAAGTAAATTACAAAATAAGAAAAAGAAAGAAAGAAGAGAAAAGATTATGAATGGAGAGATGAGCAAAGTCGATGATGAAAAAGCATTGCCTTTTAGTGAATATTTTATGTTCGATCAATTCCTTCATTTCAAAATAATCGATAATAATTAGAGTAATAGTGCTAATCTATAAGTCGCGAAAATAAACAAAAATATAGGACACATTAATATATACACATAACACATACATAATATATACATATAATATGTTAATACATGATTATAGGGACACCATTCTTGTTAAACGACATTTGTGCTATTGTATGTATGCATTTACAGATCGCTCATCTACCGTTTATACAACATTTTACCAATATACTTATTTTTCATTTTATTTTAATTTATTTTCAGTAATGGACTCCCTCGCTTCCACTCTCCTGAATCCGTTTATAAATTGAGAGTACTATAAAATAGTTAAAAAAGTTTTGTTTCACAATATTTCACAAATGTATAAATATGTACATGTATGCGTTAATATTCTTATTAATGAGATGCCACCGTTTTGCAATACCTCTAATGACAAGTTCCAATGAGACGTTCATAAAATACGAAATGAAAAGAAATGAGCTTGTTCATTTATAAATTGATTTCATAATTTATTTACGAGGCCAATTATATAAAAATCGCATTATAAAATTAAAATATGCCATTCACACATACACATACATACACACACACACTCTCGCGCTTATCTGAATGCAATCGATCAATTAGGTAAATAATATAAAAGTACGTTTGTGCAATACGCTTAATATTCCTTTATTGTTCATTGGAACAGCAATGTTAGTAGACTTTCTTTCCGTAAAAAAGATTTTATTCTAAAAAGTTTAACATTGTGTATTATTATGTAATAAATTTCTGAAAAGAATGTCAAATGTGTCTCCCTGTGTTCTTTTTTTGTTATTAATTGTAGGCATCTTTCCTTCCGCTATTAATAAAGAAGTTAAATCGTCAGACGAACAGCCTTATTATACAGATTTAATCGCATCGGTAAGTTAATTTCATGAGAATATATTTCAGATAAAAAATTAAATTTATTATGATTATATATTGAATTTATTAAAATTGAATTTATTTATATTTATTATAATAACGACTATATTCGCATCATACACGTTGTAACGGTACGGCCTATCCCGATCGCCACGGACTGGCTCGCCGGTTCCAAGATTCGGGAGTATTAGGAGAGTCAAGCTTACGAGTCCTCTTTTAGAAACGAGCCTTTATTCGTAAATAGTTATCCTAGATCTTAACCTACGCGGAGCGCAACAAACTTAGCCTACGGAAACGACTTATCCTACGAGAGATTACAACTAACTTATATTACGCGAGCTTAGCCTACGACGGTGCGCAAGTACTTATCTTTCTAGCTTAGTCTACGGACGATTACATGTAACTTAGCCTAGCCGGTCGGTCGCGGTTTCGGTCGACGAGCGCGTCGCGATTGCGGAGTTCACCGTACGGCGGTGCGCGGAGGCCGAGTGCCGGGCAAACCCAGGCTGCGGAGAGGTCAGACCCGTCTCCGTCGGCGTGCGCGGTCAGGAAGCCGAGTGCCGGGCAAACCCAGGCGGCGGAGAGGTCAGACCCGTCTCCGTCGGCGTGCACGGTCAGGATTCGAGATGCCTTGGTTATTCCCAGAGGTTCAGAACAGGTCGGAAACTGGAGAGGAATAGGTACCGGTCTGTTGCGCGAGCCGGCTTTTATACGGCTCGAAGGGCCCCCACGCTCGCGTGCGTCGAGAAGGGAGTGAGACTAGGTGGGGAAGCCCATAGGCGGGATCGCAGGTGGGTGCCAGAGTAAGGAATTTCCTCGCGGAAAACGGTTATAGTTCACGTCTTTATTTTATAAATTTAGGAACAATATAAACAAATGAACACATGAACGATATAAATGGTATAAACGAATAAACAATGAACGATAATACAACTAGAGAACCATTTCACACTACTATATACAAGATTATAGTGACTATGCGAGAGCGTCGTCACACCATCCCGCGCTTAGGGTGGTCCGTTGAGACGCCGGGCTGCTCGGGGGCGGCTGTCCGGGTGAAACCTGATCACCCATCGGCCTGACGCGGTGCGGACCTTATATCTGCGCCCTACGATGGCCGATCCGGCGGGGACTTCGACCACAGTGCCGTCGCCTAGGCGGACGGGAATGGACCCGGCGATGGGTGGCCCCCTTCTTGGGGCCCCGGTGATTAGTGACCTGGTGGGCGATGCCCGGATCTCTGGTGATTCGGTGGGTGGCCGGGCGGTCGCAGGCCGGGTGGCAGGTGGTCCGACGTTCGCAGGCCGGGCGGTAGGCGGCCCGGCGGTTGTAGGTCGAGCAGTAGGTGGCCCGACGGTCGCAGACTGGGCAGTAGACGGTCCGACGTTTGCAGGCCGGGCGGTAGGTGGTCCGATGTTCACAGGCCGGGCGGTAGACGACCCGGCGGCCGCAGGTCGGGCAGTAGGCGGCCGGATGGTCGCAGGCCGGCTTGTATGCGGCCCGGCGGTCGCAAGCCGGGTAGTTCGTGGTCCGGCGGTCGTCGGACGGTTAGTAGGCGGTCCGGTGGTCGGCGGCCGGGAAGTCGATGCCTTGGTACTGGGCTTGGCGGTCGGTGGACGGCTGGCGGTAGGTCGAGGCTTGATCAGGGCGGCGACCCTTCCGCGATGGCGTGGCTTTATTTCCGGTGGTGCGGCCAGGAGTACGGCCTTCCGGTGGTTGGTCCGGTCGGACCGTTGGACCGATGTTCCCGGGCGCGGCGGACGTCGCGGCAGTCCCGGACTCGGGGTTGCAAGCGGTGGCGATGTGGCGGGCGAGAGCGTCGGCGGCGTTGTGAGGGTCGGCGTGGGTCTGCTAGCGTTAGACTCGGAGCTGGAGCTAATGTCTCCAAAGAGGTCGGATACTTCGCGTTGGTCCATCGTGACTGTTACTCCGTACGGGGTTGCACGGCCTTATATACCCGTTGTACTGCTCGTGGAGGGGATTTGTTCGCGGAACTTCTGGTGGCTCGGGGTGTCCCGTGGTTCCAAGGGAAGTAGCGGAGTCCGGTCGCAGGTCGGGCAGTCGCTGGACCGGCGATCGTAGGCCGGGCAGTATGCGATCCGGCGTTCGTAGGCCAGGCAGTAGCTGGACCGGTGGTCGCAGGCCGGGCAGTATGCGGTCCGGCATCCTCAGGTCGGGCAGTAGGTGGCCCGTGGTCCTAAGGGAAGATCCCTAGTAACGGAGTCCGTCCGAATGCTCCAAGGTGACGGTACTTTGGCGTGGTCGGTAACTTTCTGCCGGATTATGCGTCATCCTCGTCCACCCGAGGGCTTCCTTGTATGTTTGGTTGGGGTTTCAGGTCCTGTACGTGGATATGCCGATGCCATTTCCCGTGTTCGTCGCGCAGATCTACGATGACTGGGGATATTATCCGACGTACTTCCATGGGCCCCGAAAATCGAGGGGCGAGTTTGGCGTTAAACGCGTCGTCGCGGCTTGACAGGGGGCGTTCTCGTTTCCAAACCTTGTCGCCATCCGGGGACACCAGTCGCGTCGTCTCAGGTTATAGTGGCGCTCCTGTTTTTGGAAGGCTTGGGCTAGGTGAACCCTGGCGACTTCATAGGCCTCTTCCAGGCGTTGTCGATGCGATTTCGGGGAAATCGGGTTTGGCGTTGTTTGTCGCTCGGCAGGATATGGAGGTGCCAGTTCGCGGCTGTGGAGCAGAAAGGCCGGGGTATATCCGGTTGTCTCGTGTCGGGCGGTGTTCATCGCGAACTGCAACGCGTCAATGTGCTCGTCCCAATCCCGGTGCCGATCGCCCACGTATTGACTAATCATGTTCTTGATGGTCCGATTCGCCCTCTCCACCGGGTTGCAATGCGGCGCGTAGACAGGTGACGTGCGGTGCTGGATCCCGAATGACACCAGCAAGGTGCGGAACTGGCGAGAGGTGAACTGGGTCCCGTTGTCCGAGATGAGTTGGTCCGGGCATCCATGCCGGTAGATGACGCAGCGGGTTACTTCTTTCGCCAGTGCCGTGGCAGTGGCGCGTCGCAGGGGAACCATTTCGATCCATTTGCTAAACCGGTCCTGGGCGGTCAGGAGCCAGACATGTCCACGAACCGAGCGTGGCAGAGGACCGACTAGATCCACTGAGACTTGCTGCCACGGGACGGTCACTGGGGTAGCGTGTAGATTCCCTGCTGGTCGTTGCTGTGGTACCTTGTGGGCTAGTCAGTTCGGGCAGCTCCGAACGTACCGGGCTGTCTCCCGGAACATTCCCGGCCAGTAGTACGACCGGGCGAGTCGGGCGATGGTCTTAGCCACTCCTAGATGTCCTAGATGCGGTTGGGTCGTCGTGTAGCCGGCGTAGGATGTCGAGCCGCTGTTCCCGAGGGACGCACTGTTTCCATTGTTCGGTGGAGGGTACCTCGCTAAAATCCAGGTCGTGTAGCATATGTCGAAATAGTTGGCCGTCACGTATCTCGTAATCGGGGTACTCGTCTGGTCGGTTCTTTACCTCTCTGAGGAGGCGTTGGTACCATGGACACGCTATCCGGTGTTGCATTGCGTTGAGCTGTGGCTCCCGGGAGAGGGCATCGGCTACTTGATTTTGTCCTCCTCTCCTATAGTGTATGGTGAAGTCGAACTGTTGCAGTTCGAAGAGCCACCGCCCCAGGCGTCCGGACGGGCTCTCCAGATGTTGCAACCACTTGAGGGACTGGTGGTCAGTTACAACAGTGAATCGATACCCCTCCAAGTAGTCTCGCATTCACCGGATTCCCCATACCATAGCGAAACATTCCAACTCGGTCGCGCTGTAGTTCCGCTCGGCACCATTGAGCGTTCGGCTGGCGTATGCGATTACTCGCTCTCCCTCCGTCTGGTGCTGTGTTAGCACGGCTCCTAGCCCAATGTGAACTGGCATCGGTTTGCAGCAGGAACGGTTTCTGGAAGTCCGGGCAGGCCAGAACCGGTGTGGAGGTCAATGCTTCCTTCAGTTGTTGAAAGGCTGCGTCTTCGGGGGTCCCCCATGTCCAGCCAGCTCGTTTTTTGGTCAGCGCTGTAAGCGGCACAGCTAGTGTCGAAAAATTCGGGATGAACCTCCGGTACCACGAGGCCATTCCTAAAAATTGCCGGACCTTGCGCACGGTGGTGGGAGCTGGCCAACTGGTGATGGCGCTGACTTTGTCTGGGTCCGTGTGTATCCCTCGTCGGTCAATTACATGTCCTAGATAACGGACTGTTCGCAGAAGTGGCACTTATCCGGGTTTAAGCGTAGCTTTGCCTCGCGTAGTCGCCGGAAGACCTCTCTTAAGTGTTGCAGGTGTTCGCTGAACGTCTTGCTGGCGATTATTATATCGTCCAAGTATACGAGGACGTTAGGTTCGAGGTCGGGGCCGATCACTGTGTCTAGCAACCGCTGGAAGGTCGCCGGGGCCGAGTGCAACCCGAAAGGCATGACCGTGAATTGGTACAAACCCTTTCCTGGTACGGTGAAGGCGGTTGTAGGTCGACTCTCTTGGTTCAGTGGTATCTGCCAGTAACCACTCTTTAAATCTAACGTTGTCAGGTATTTCGCCCCGCGCAATTTGTCCAGCGTAGCCGTGATGTGCGGCAAGGGATAGGCGTCTTTATCTGACACCGCATTCAACCTGCGGAAATCGATGCAGAATCTATACTGCCCATCTCTCTTTCAAACTATGACTACCGATGAGCTCCAAGCGCTGTTCGAGGGCTCGATGACGCCTTCGGCGAGCATTCGGTCGACCTCCTCATTGATGACGGCTTGCATGGGTTTCGAGGCCGGTACCGCTGTTTGATGGGCGGTCCGGGCTTTAGCCGGATGCGATGTTCGGCTCGGTCGGTTCGTCCCGTGATTCCTTCGAACAACGGTAACTCAGCAGCTAAAAAGTCCCGGAGTTGCGCTTCTTCGTTTGCCTCGTTACTGGAGCCGACGGTGATCGTGTTGGTTCGGGAAATCGCCCCGGTCTGGTTCAACGGAGGTGGCGGCAACGTGAATCCCATCTTAGCCCACAGGTACCAATCAGCACAGCGCTAGCTAGACCAGGGAGTATGCAGAAATCGTGCCAATAGGTTCTCCCATGCCATCGGAGAGGCAGGCGCAATACCCCAGTGACACCTACCCGTGTGCTATCGGCTAGGAGGACGTAGTCTCCTCGGTTCTGGGCTAGTCGTGGTATTCCGGGGAATAATCGTGCAGTCTCTTCCTGTATGCACGAGACTTCAGATCCGGGGTCTATGAGGGCCGCGAATGGTTGTCGCCGGATGTGTACTTGGAGGTGCGGGCGCGGACGGTATTCTATTCGAGGCTGGGCTGGGAGACGTCCCCGGCCCGTTGGGCGTTTCCCGTCGGCGGGTGGCAGTCGCGAGTCAGGACATCTTTGCCGCATCGCGAGCAGAATTTTCTTGGTGGTCTCTTACAATCCACCCGAGTGTGGCCTCGCTGCTTACATCTCCAGCAGCATTCCTCCAGGTTGTAGGTGACGGCGGCGACTGATGGTTTGGCGGCCGCTGGAGTTCGATCCTGTCGACGGTGGTGGATTTCCTCAATCTTAGATATCCGGGTCAGGAGTTCGCTCATGGTGAGCTGGTCGGCGAGCGGAACATAGAGCTGGTTTTCGTAGATTTGCTCCAGCTGTTCTCGTTCGGAGTATCCCCCAGCTCGGCGCATCATGGTGAGAAGCGTATTGGAGTATTCGCGAAACGACTCCCCTGGTTTTTGGGAGCGTCCGCTGATTTCTCGTTTTAGTCGCCTCAGGTATCCCGGCGGCAGGTAGTAATTACGAAACTGTTCCAAGAACCTATTCGCAGAAACTGGCCCAAGTTCCCCAGGTATCGTGGTGGTTTCGATACCACAAGGGTACAGAGGGCATTCCCTTTTAGTAATTTCGGTAGACCCAAGAGTAAGTGGTCTTCTTAGAGGCCATAACTGATTCGTAGCTCTTCAACTTTCTCTAGGAATGAGAGTGGATCCACTCCTTCGAAACGGTGGCCCCATTTCCGGATCTGGTTGATGATCTCGATGCGTTCCGTTGGACTCAAGGTGGGCATGGTCGCGGTTTCTCCTGGTACGTCACCGTTGTTGTTCCTCGGGTTGTCGGACGGGTGGGCAGCAAAGTACAGGCGCAATCGGCGTCTCAGCCACCAGGTCCACCTAGCCTGTGGTATCCACTTCGTACCGATGGAGATATTCTACAAGCTGTTCTTTGGAAAGGTTATTAATCCACGCAGTCATGACGCTTTTCGCTAGCTGGACTCTCCTTAAACGGTCCCTGTTCGGGCGCCATGTAACGGTATGGCCTATCCCGATCGCCACGGACTGGCTCGCCGGTTCCAAGATTCGGGAGTATTAGGAGAGTCAAGCTTATGAGTCCTCTTTTAGAAACGAGCCTTTATTCGTAAATAGTTATCCTAGATCTTAACCTACGCGGAGCGCAACAAACTTAGCCTACGGAAACGACTTATTCTACGAGAGATTACAACTAACTTATATTACGCGAGCTTAGCCTACGACGGTGCGCAAGTACTTATCTTTCTAGCTTAGTCTACGGACGATTACATGTAACTTAGCCTAGCCGGTCGGTCGCGGTTTCGGTCGACGAGCGCGTCGCGATTGCGGAGATCACCGTACGGCGGTGCGCGGAGGCCGAGTGCCGGGCAAACCCAGGCTGCGGAGAGGTCAGACCCGTCTCCGTCGGAGTGCACGGTCAGGATGCCGAATGCCGGGCAAACCCAGGCGGCGGAGAGGTCACACCCGTCTCCGTCGGCGGGAACGGTCAGGATTCGAGATGCCTCGGTTATTCCCAGAGGTTCAGAACTGGTCGGAAACTGGAGAGGAATAGGTACCGGTCTGTTGCGCGAACCGGCTTTTATACGGCTCGAGGGCCCCCCACGCTCGCGTGCGTCGAGGAGG